TAACCACCTTTCATGAGCTCTCACTATCCACTGACTCCATTTCTGCAGAAACCCTAGAACCACAACCTAAAACTCTAATGTGGAAGCCATGCCAAGTAAAAGGCAGGGAAGGCGCCACAAAACTCTGAAGATGAGGGCCCAGACTCCGAACGCGGCTGAGGGCGTGACGGTGCATGGCCCTGGGCGCACAGGTCAGCTCCGCGGGGGGACCCTCCCTGGTTCTCTGCGAATCTGGGTTCTCGCCTCACCCCCCACCCCACCTCTGGCCCCAGACGACACAGGGTCCTGGTCGATCGTCTCTGCCTTGATCTGTATCTGCAACTGCTAAGCGTTTGCAGGTGTTCTTGTTACCCAGCCGCTCCCGCAGAACGTCAGCTCCCTGGGAACAAGGACTTGGTCAGTCTCATTCATCTCCGAGGCCGGAACGAGGCCAAGCACACAGAAGGCGCTGCAGGCACAGCTGCTAAATAAACGGGCGAATAAATGAAGGAGGCAACGCACAAACGTCTCCAAGTCTGGCTGCTCTAACTCTAATGTTCGTTGCTGCCCCGAAGTACCCTTGGACACTGTGGTGGCAGCCTGTGGATGTCCCACCAGCGCAGCCAGCCACGGTGACATTTAAGCAGCAGCACTGAGGCGCTCCCCGGGACTTTGCAGCTGGAGCACCGTCACTCCCACCCACCAAGGAGTGACCTGCCAGCCCCACTTCTCCATTTGGCGTCTGCGGGGCCCGTGAGCTTTTCACCTGGGGGGCTGGGAGGGGGTGAGCAGAGTGATGTGGCTGTCACTCACACAAACAAAGGGGGTGCAGGGAACACCACATCCGATGACAAAGGGTCTGGAGACACCACAGGGGAGAAAAGCGAGGATCCAGGGAAGAGCCAGCAGTGCGTTCAGGGTCCATGACAGCAGGCTCAGCGCTGCCCCCAAACTGCTAGTCCTCCAGGCAAGCTCCACCCTCCACCGTGGCGCTTCTCCCACCAGGCTGCCCGAGAGCTGGTCAGGACAGGTGACGGGCCCCACACAGCCAGGTTCCTGAGGCCAGTGCCCTACAGGTCTGCGCGGCCCCCAGGCGGTGCCCTCACTGCGGGTCTGCCAATCTCACGTTGCCCAACAAGACTCCCCAGCTGTGCTGTCCACATGGCCACTGAGTACTGGAAACGTGGCTAGTGTGACCGGGGAAAGGATTTCTCAAGTCTGATTTGATGTAATTGAAGTGTAAATAACCACACGAGGTACTGCACCGGGCAGTGCAGAGAGCATGTTTCCAGCCTCGTGGAAGGCTCTCAGGACGGCACGGATGTGGACAGCATGCTTCAGACCGCAGCCCTGAGCTGCAGGGGGTCTCCTCTCCCCACGAGCAGAAGTGGGTCAGTTTCCACGGGAAATCTTTCAAATAAAAGGGCACAAATTCGCCTCAGTGTCCCAACCCAACCATCGCCCTGGGAAGAGATGCGCTCAGACCAGGAGCACCAGCTGCTCGGCAATTCTGATGCTGGTGAGGCCCTGGCGCCTGAGGGGTGGGAGGGGAGGCGGGGAACGTGGCAGCAGGGACGGAGACCACCAGGCGGCTCCCCGCAGGCTTGTGCTGTCATCGGGCAAAGGGATAATCTAAGTTCTGGAAACTAACAGAAAGTCAGACTCACCCATATTCCAGCACAGAGAGGAAAACTAACGGTAATTCAAAGCCGAAGGTCTGCCTGGAGCCACTTGCCCCGACTCGGCAGTTACTGGGGCGGGCAGTACTCACGCTGAACACCTTGACGTCCTTTCTGGTTCTTATTTCTTCCACGAGGGCCAGCGGCCTGCCCTTCGGTATGGGGATGGTGCCCAGGACGACGGTCCCCGGGGTGGACAGCGTCTGGCGAACGGCCTGGATGAAAGGCTGGCTGAAGAGCTCCATCTTCCCAACCTCGTCGATGACGCACACGCTTGGCCCCGGGCTGGAGCTGGAACCCGCCTGCGGTGACAGAGACACCACGTGGGACACCAGAGCCCCACCAGGCAGAGTCCCCCAGTCACTCACCAACCAACCGTCAGAGCCGGGGGGCCAAGTGGACTTCAGAGTCAGGAGATGGCCTCTCTGTCCACACGGACCATCAATCTGCAAACGAGTCTAGAAGAGCGTCCTCAGAGGCGGTAGGACCCAGGGGGTCAGCTCCCTCAGCCCCCAGTCTTCCCGTGGTCTACACTGGTAGGGCGGGCCCGGGAGTAACCGAGCTTTATGTGGACACACACCCAGGGAATAAGTAGGCTTAGAAGAAAAGAGACAGCAAGGCTGGGAGCCCTCACTGCTAACACTGGCCCTCTTTCTCCGGTTTTGAGTTGTGTGAGATGCCCCATCTGCAGACAGGGCCTGTGTGTTTCATAATCTGAGCTATGAGGGTCGGTGGAAAGAAGCGAAAAATGAAAAGCCGTAGTGGTTTAAAAAAAAAAGTGAGCAAGGTTGTGCCCTTTAAATGTCACATTCCCTTTCCAATGACTTTATATCGATGAGCTCCCACTGCGTCCCTGAAAACCCCACGAGGAACAGGGATGGCAGCCGCCTCCAAGACTCCCGGTGACTCTGGGGGGACCCTCCCACGCAGACGCAGGGCGGGTGTGTGTGAGCACCAGAGTCTGACAGCAGGGCTGGGATGCCTCTCCTGAGATTGTGGAGAAAGACTGCGGTTTCTGACTTGGTCTCAGTCCCTGTCCGTCAGTCCATCCGTCCATCCATCTAGTAATCCTGGATGACTCGCTCTAGGGGAAGGCAGCTGCCACGCCATAAGGCCCCGCAGGCTGCTGACAGTGAGGGCGACGTGATAACGAACTGAGGCCGCTCAGAAGACTCAGACGACGGCTATCGCATGAGACCCTAAGCCTGAACACCCAGCTAAGCTGTCCTGGATTCCTGACAGGGAAACTGTGAGACAATGGAAGTTTGTGGTTTTAAACTGCTTAATGTGAGGGTGATTTGTTACACAGCAGTAGAGAACTAATACACAGGCCCTCTCTAAAAAGCCTTCCCAGAGAAAGCTGATGGGCCTCCGGCTAGTTTTCCCATAGCAGGGACACAAGAGAACATACAAGAAATACTTTAGTGACTGCCGAGTGACATGTCCATTTGATAAATCTTTGTATAAATGATTTGAAAACTGTACGTAAATTTACTGTCTTCACTATAGTTCTTAGACTCCTTAATAATGACATCAACACATTCTCAGACTGTATGGCTGAGTTTAGCCAGGTTTTCCCAAATTCCAAATATCAAAGCTATAATACAGAGCGGCGGGGGGCTGGGTGCAGGGGGACCAGTGACCGACGGGACTGAGGGCAGACCCGGGAGCCTTGAGTGGTGCCCAGCAGGGTGGGGATGGTGCCCAGCAGCCGGGATCATCTAAGTTAGGCAGGATCTCAGGCTGAGCTTGAAAGGCTGCCCGCTGGGTGCCGTCAGGAGGACAAGAGAGGCTTCCGACTGGAGGGAAGGATCAGAGTGGTGGTTTCCAAACTTCCACGTCAGCGGTACTCTTATTTTCCTACTTACTATCAAA